TTTCTCATTCTCTTTTTATTTTATTACTTATTATGTTAGAGTAGATTTTTATTTCTAGTTCTGGGAATGTCGAACCCTACGACTTGACGATTTTTTTCTACAAACTTACGTGGTTGATGATTTTATTATCTTTTTAGAATTGTGCGTGTTATTTTGAATAATTAACCATGATGTGTTGAGTCTTATTTAGATTGATCACCTAGATTAGGCTTTTCATGTTTATAGCTGAATTAGACCTTCAATCCGTAATTGTTGTTGTGTTTAATTCATAAGAGGCTACCGGAAGACGGTTACTACCGGGGATAACACGACCTATTTAAGTGAAGGAACGCGTCACTACTTAGTCTAGCCTATTTTTCTAATACGTAAAGCGGCTAATTGTACTAAATCTTGAAAATATTTTTCTGGACTGTACAAGAAGTCATGTTTAATCGTAGAGCGTCTCGCGGTTAAATTATAAATAAGAAAAATTCGGGTAACAGACCGTGTCGTTGCCTAGGGCTAGTAATTCCATAAGATAGTGAGATTTGATACCAAAGTTGTTTAGACGGGTCAGTCGAGGGTATAGACGGCACCGTGAACTAGAAATTTCTCTTAATTAATTAATTTTTATTTTTATTTCATTTGTTTAGATTTTATTTATTTAATTAGGATTTTAATTAGTTTAGTTATTAAATCCAATCCTCCCTTTTATTGTTTTCTTAATTTCAATTAATACGAAAATTCACGATTTAGTTTACACTCCTCGTGGGATCGACCCTTACTTACCACTGCTACTAGTTAGTAGAGGTTAGTTAAGGAAAATATAAATAATAATTTTGTCGCGTTGCGACGCGCGGTCAAATTTTGGCACCGTTGCTGGGGAGTAGTGTTATTGAATTGTGATTTTTAAGTAACAATTGAATTTTTTTTTTTTTTTTTTAGGATTTTATTTTTATCATCTCTTACCCCTCTATTTTTCTTTGTTTTAATTTTTCTTGCAGAATACTGGGCACCCCCATACTCGCGCGGTTGACCCCATACTCGCGGGATTGATTAATCTTTGGACGATTTTAGCGAGCTTGGCGCAACATTTCGAGAATGGCAGCCTATTATCACGATTTTTATTCCCATTGTGCACCTTACCAGTATGAGAGGGAGGTACGAGGCCCGTGGATTGGAGATCGAGGCGCAAGAGGACCTAGTGGTTGGCGAAGGGACGAGCAAGACTACTTCTATACCGATGAATATAAGAGCACTCGAACTCTTTTCATGGGTACTCCAAGCCACCAATTGCGCGAGATCCCTACCCATCGCTTGAGGATATGATAGAGGCATTGACGTTAAACAAGTTGAAATTTCGACAAGAGTGCTGCGAGCCATTAGTTGAGAGAGATCCTGGTCCGTCACTCGAGGATATGATGATGGAGTCGATGGCTCAGACCCTTAACTTTAAGCAAGGTGTAGAGGCGAGCATCAATAGCCAAGGACTACGCATAAGGAATTTACAAGTCCAAGTGAGCCAATTGGTGGAACAAATGGACCGACTAGCGTGTAGGCTCGAAACGATTCCAATGAGTTCAAGCGTCATCCAGTCGTGCAACGAGGAACTTGAAGTGTACAAATGAGCCGGAGAACGAGAAAACCCCAAATATCGAGAAGAAGGAGAGCAAAAAAGAGAATCAATCTACAGAATATGGGGTCGAGCAGCAGAATACGGGGATACCCCATACTCGACCTGCTGGAACCATAAAGCGTACCGTTCTCCCCGCTCTTGTGCCGATAAAAGTTTAAAATTGTTTCATTTCTTCCAATATGAAGTGGGTACTGAGTAAAGATGCACTGAAGCATGGCTTGGGCCATGATATACCCTCTCTTGAGGCAATCGAGCAAAATGTAAGGCGCAAATGGGATCTTGATGAGATGGTGACCATGATTGAGCGTGAGTTGCTACATACTCATGAGGAGTTAGCTCCATGGAGGAAGATCCGTTGAAGCATCCAACGCCGAAAAGAGTGAATTTCGAAGAACATGGCGTGGTGAGATTTGTGGCTCCCTTGAGGTCACCTGGGAAGCCACCATGGACCCTTTTGATGAAAAGAGAGCAGTAAGTCGGGCCAACGACAATAAAAAGAGGCGCTTGTTGGGAGGCAACACAATGTTGTGCATGGTTCGGAGACTTCCACTGGTGAACTCGTTTCTCTTACCTCTATTTTTTGTGATTATTGGTGTCGATGGTATATGGAAACTCTACGTTTGGGAAGATAGTTTCTTGGTGAGCATTAATGTTTATTATGTCATTATATTTTTTTCCCTTAGTTTGATTCTTAGATTAAATTGCATGATATTTGTTTGTCTTGTGTGAGCATGAGATTGCATGTATGTGGAATTTTCTGATTATGACATGAGAGTCGGTTTGAATTTATTGTGCTAGTTTAAATGACTTGAGTTAATTTTATTTGGTTAAATATCTTAAGGTGTGGTTTGAATTTATTGTGCTAGTTTAAATGACTTGAGTTAATTTTATTTGGTTAAATATCTTAAGGTGTTTTTATTTTGGGGACAAAGGCATGATGGTTGATATTTTTGTGATTTATTTGTGGTGAGTAGATTTTGAGACGATTTGTGTTGTTGAGTTGTGCTCGTGATTGTCTTAATTAATGTTGATTAAGTTTGGGGAATGAAGTTGAAAGTTGGGGTTTCTATGTCCCTTAGTCGAAAAAAAAAGAATAATGAGGATGGAGGAATAATAGGTGGAGTTGAAAAGTCATTGACAATAAAAAAAAAATGAAATAAAATGTTATGGGCTGCAACAGCTGCCAATCCGTGGGGGCTCTAGTGTATAATTCCAATAATTCTTGTATCGAGACAATCACGAAAGACTAAAACCTGCGGGTTGTGACGGAGCTGCCGTTCCCAACTAAAAAAAAAGAGAATAATGAAAAAGAAAAAAGTGAAAATAGATAATTCTATTGTTTTTATGGCTTAATGTTGATTAAAAGATGTAGAAAACAGATAATAACCCTATTATTTTTTAGACTTAAACTGAAAAGACTGTGAAATAACTCATTTAATATCTCTGTCTCGTACATCGCACGGGGTACGTACTAGTCAAACGAAAACAAATAAGAAAGAAGAAAAAAAGTACAAAGCAAAAACACAAAAGGTGTCAGATCCTGGTCCGAGAAAAGTCGAGCAAAAAACATAAAATTGTTGAAAAAAAATTGCTTAGCATTCTTTCTGACAAGCAAAGGAACACCCCCGGCGCTTTGCAGGTGATTGAAGATGGGATTTTCAGCTACGCTCAAGGTGAAAAACCCAGTCAAAAAAGGGGTTAAAAACTGATCAAAATTATGAGGACAAATACGCTACAGTGTAATCTTACCTCTGTATGTAGTGTGATGAGAATTTTCATCCCTTATGCTTTTGAAGATAGGGAACCTATTTAGCTCCACATATTTTTTGCGTTGAGGACTAACCGTATACTAACTGACAATTAGCAGCTGACCCTGCAGAAGTGTTATATTGTCATCATATGGGTGAACCCGTAACAACGAATTAACTCTCATGGACCACACACATGCTGAGATTGGATTTTTGTTCAAATATCTTCTAGGCCTTTTGCCATATATATGATTCGATGGTCTCTAAATATAAACGATTCACACAAAATAATAATAATATCCAAAAATATATGTAAAAGTAAAAGGATAGGGAAAACAACACTTAACCCATCTAACTATAGAGTTTTTTGCACTTTACGTATCTCTCAACTTTTTTTTTGTGACACTTTAAAACTTTGCGAAAATTGCATTAACCAATTTCCGGTCATCATCGGAAATTTTTGAGGATAACTTCGACTTTTCAGTCATTCATCCAGTTAATTGTAATTTAAAAATTACACTTTATCCACCTACCTATACGTTTTTGTGTATTTTACCCACCCAACTTTTTTATTATTTACACTTAGCCCATAGAAATGGTCGGATGGTGACCGGAAATTGGTTAAGTGTAATTTTTAGAATGTTATATGGGCAAAGTGTCACAAAAAAAAAAAAAAAAAAAGTTGAGTGAGTAAAGTGCAAAAAAACACTATAGTTAGGTGAGTTAAATGTAATTTTTCCAAAAGGATAATAATTGTGTTTCTTTTGAAGCCTAATAGTTATTTCTTTCTTTCTTTCTTTGTCATGAAAAGTAACGAAAGGATTGTAGGATAGGAAAGCTAGAAACCTGGACATTCTGAACTCAGACAAATTTTGATTGTTATTAATTTCATAGGATTAAGGTTTGATGTTCAACACTTCATTTATAGGCTGTTTAATTGTAAAATATAGTCAGTATCTTGTACGCGGTGGCAATATTAGCCACCATCTTTACGAATTGGCAATATATATATATATATTAGCCAACAACTTTCAAAATTTTAGTGTTATTACCCATGTCCGACCAAATTCGATGGCTATTGTTATCACTGCGTAAAAGGATATTGACTATATTTTACAATTTGTCTGTCGAATTTAGTTAGATTTGAGTAATAATCTCAAAATTTTGAAAGTTATTGGCGAATATTGCCAATTTATAATGATGTGACTATTATTGTCACCGCGTACAAGAAGATGCTGACTATATTTTACAATTTAACGTGATGGATATTAACCGTGGTTGTAACTTAACCATGCATGGTTAAATTCAACGATCTAAGCGTAGATATTTGGGAGGAAAATATCTACAGCAGCAACTCACAGTCACTTAGAGTTCATGTTATCACAATTTCTTACCACAACTCAGACTGTCTTTTCACCTCACCCTTTTGAGATTGGAAAAGAGGCATCTTGTTCTCATGTGCACATAACGATACAAGAAGTTCACATGCACGCTACAGCCAGCTCGAGTCCTGTCTTTTTCACCTCCATGCACAATTACTCTTACCCAAACTACTATATAAACCCACAAAAACCTATATTCATCATCATCATCATTATCTATCACACCCTTCAAAAAAAAAGGAAGAAAAAAATAAAATGTATATCAAGTACTTATTCCTCTTCTTTCTCCAGGCGGCCGCCACCACCTATGGGCTGGTGCAGGACTTCTGCATTGCAGACCTCTCCCTGCCCTCGACCCCAGCCGGTTACCCTTGCAAGAAGGCGGCCTCCGTCACAGCCAGCGACTTCGCATTCCACGGGCTTGCGGCCGCCGGCAACACCAGCAACATCATAGGGGCTGCCGTGACCCCGGGCTTTGACGGCCAGTTCCCGGGGGTGAACGGGCTCGGCATCTCCATCGCACGGCTCGACCTCGCGGTGGGAGGGGTCATCCCACTCCACACCCACCCGGCCGGGTCGGAGATCCTTGTGGTGATCCAAGGGACTATATGTGCGGGCCTCATCTCGTCCTTTGACAACAAGGTCTACCTGCAGACGCTCAACCGGGGGGACGTCATGGTCTTCCCGCAGGGGCTGCTGCATTTTCAGATTAACTCTGGGAAGGGCCCGGCGCTTGGGTTTGTCTCCTTCGGGACTCAAAACCCGGGACTACAGATCACCGACTTTGCCCTGTTCAAGAACGATTTCCCGACGGAGCTGGTGGCCAAGACCACCTTCCTGGACGTGGCGCAGATCAAGAAGCTCAAGGGAGTGTTGGGTGGGACCAACTGATCGGATTCTTGTTTTCTCTTTATTCTTTTAATTTTTGAGTTGTTTAGGAGACTTGATGGCTTGTTAGTTTGAGCAGTTTCTTGATTTGGTCTCGTCTGTGTTGTTGTGGAGTTTTCCTTGAATTGTTGGATATGCTTTGATTTGGGTCTTTTCGTTTTGTACTTCTTTCGTACGTGGATTTGTTAGTCATGTTTGCCCGTTGGGTCCTTGGAGCTCATATTGTGTTTCTCATGAATGTTATTTTTTTTTTTTTTTTTTTT